GAACTAATCAGCTGTTGTCACGAGGACCATGGGATCGAATTGGTGTATACCTGAGGGCGTCCTCGGTGGTGATATCTCTCAGATAATGGTTTGCAACCACCATATCAGATTTCAGAAATAAACCCTCCATTATTTCAATCACATTTGTGTAGAACAATTGTAGAAGTTAAGCTATAATATCATGAGTATTAAGCTCATGGAGGGTCGGAATAGGTCCATCCGCATATGCACGTAGTATGACAGTTCTGATCCAAATGGAGATATAATTACATGAGACTTCACTCTGCGTAAGTTGATGATAGAGGAAATAATCTGTTGCATTTTTTCCTCCTGTTTGGATTTGGTGGAGATAAATTTACAGTGCTCTTGCTGGCCATCTTGATAGAATCATGCGTATCATGGGGTCCAAGTATATCATCCAGGCGTGTTCATAAACCTCACTTGTGTGAGGTGTTGGAGCACTATATTCATATCCCCAGGTTGAGTGAAATTTCCGTTTTATTCTCCAAACAGAAGTTTAGTAGGTTTACTAACCATCTAGTTGTGTTAGTTAAGCTTGATGAAATTCAGCTGTAGTCTGACTGAAAGCTGTGGATTTAAGATCCACTTGTATCTTTCGTCTAGGTAATTAAGCTCACAGAAGTCCTTTGGCGATGTAGGTGCACAACCAGGTGTGTCTGTCCTCGTTGAACTTTATGTAAAATCGCCTGACTGCGATCCCTCGTCTTAACTTGACAGGGGAGGTCTCTAACATGAAGAAAGGCAGTCTAATCATGAATGTTCAGGTTAACTGGACTGTAATGAGAGCTTGCTTTCGTTCACTGATATATAGTTGTCACTTGTGGACGTAAGTCTTGAACTGTGAATTGAGATGCGACCTCTGTGTAGGTCGTTGTCCCTCATGGGTCCAATCAGAACAAGGCATTTTGATTCTGTATAATACCCGGCTGTGATGTCACGGTGTAGCGGCGAAAAAACCCACCTTTGAATAAATTCTTGTCGTCGTTGATATTAGCATAAACATTCGGTCTTCACCCGTAGCTTCGAAAGTTATCCGAGTGACCCATGTTTTGAGGGTTAATGGTAATCGCTGAAACCTCCGGCTGTTGAAATATCTGCGGGCCTGTAATTTTATGCTGGGTAGGTTATTTTCCTGGTTTGTCGTGAAAGTAAATTCAGTTTGAATATAATTCCGACTTCCTTATATATAAGGGTATAAACAACTTTGCAAGTTGTGAGCTTGTAGACTGTATACATGAATGTATCGTCATAATTGTAGAATTGCGTTGAACTTGTTGTACATATTTCTTCTCAGAAACTTTGGCGATTAAGAGTTATACACGGCTGTAACAAGGCTGCTGTTCAATTTCCTGATATTGAGATTGTCTGCAGATATCGCGTAATGGTCGCATGTAGATAATCGTATCGTCGTCCAGGTTGTATATTAGCAATTTATCACGGAATAGTTGATTTCTGTGAAGATCTATGAAATGTCGTTGACTAATAATACAGCGGCGTTTGTGTTGTAAATAGCCCTGAGCAATTATCTTAGCATAGGCTTATAGGCGGCATCTGGCATACAGTTGATAATCAACTTATGCGGCGTCTTGAAACGGACTGTGAGTAGCTATATATGACGAGTGGCTAGTAGTATAAGGAAACCCTTGGAGGAGACTTCCTCGGTGAGCGCCCGGAGACTTGGCGAAGTTCTCGAAGTATCCCTTCTAGATCTTCTGGGTGAAGTAGACTTGGAGCCACTTAAGCGACCATCGCGCGAAGGTGTCGAGTCAAAGCCCGATTAGTATATATATATATATAAATATATATGAGCTTGCTTGCCGTGAACAGCCTCTGTGTTTAACAGGATGTGGGATCGTGGCGCTTGCCTAAGTAAGGGCGCATGGATCATCTTATCATATTCTGAAGTAGTGTTACGAAGTCTGGTGATAAGTGTCTAATTGATCGTTCTAGATCTATTTCAGCAGAACATACGTCGTCATGGATTCAACAGAACCAATATCGATTGTAGTTCTTATACTTGATATCGATGATCAACTTGTCTATGGGTTGATCTTCTCGAGACTTGTGAGGGGCGTTGATAGTTTCTCACGAAGCTCTTGTATAGTCCCTCGATGTCCTTCTAGATGATGATGATCTGGATTCAGGGTGTCTGCCGGGCATGCCTTCAGCGAAGCTTCCTCTCGTCGGTCGGAGGCGACGATATGAGCCTTCAGCGAAGGCTTCCGTGATGTCTGATGGTCCGAGTCCACATCTAGGGATGAAACCGCATAAGGTGATGATCTATCCTGCCTTGACGAAGTCGCCTTCGCGAAGGCTGTACATCTAGGTTCTTTCAAGCGCCAGCGAAGGCTGTACATCTAGGTCCTTTCGCCTTCGCGAAGGCCTTCGCGAAGAGCTGTACATCTAGGTCCTTCGTCAAGGTGGTCCGTGACTTCCTTCGCCGAAGGTGACATCGATCCTGGCTGCCACGTTGGCGGGGGTGCCTCTGGGGTGCTGTCACGTTGGAGCTTAGCGAAGAGTTCGGACCCTGCTACCGCAGATATTGGTCCTCCATGATGTTCATAATTTGTCGCATCATGTCTTCTGGGATGGTCTGCGACGAGGTCGTCGGGTGCTTTATCTGCGGTGTTAATGGAGGGGTCCACGGAAAATCGTGACGACATCAGTGTAGAGGCATCAGGCTGCATGGTGATCTCTGCTGATGTCGTTGTAGCTATCACCGGTCGTTTCTTGTAAATGTCACGCCGGGATGATGATCAGCTGATCATCATTAGAGGTCCAGGTCATCGGCTGGAACAATCGGTTGAGAAAGTCCTAGTAGACTTCGTTGATTTTCCCTCAGAGGTCGGCGCTGCCCTGGGTGTCGCGGCGTCTGCGTTGAGTGTTGGTAATGATGGGACCCTCAGGGCGATCATCAGCATATCGCGTTGGTACATCAGGCTGCATGCTGATCTGTGCGACATCGGTCAATCTTTGATGTACATCCGGTATGATGACCGGCTGATCATCATACAGGCCCAAACTTCGATGGGAGCGGTCTCAGTTGTTGAGATGTAGTAGAAAACCCCTCTAGTCTTCTGCTGCGGCGATGGGATGTCTGGGAAGCAGGATGCTTCTTGGAGATGGCGGACTACGTCCCACATCTCTCCACCACTCTAGCGGAACACCACACGGGAGGGAGTCGGCCAACAGCAGTAGACTGGCGAGGGTTCCGGTGTATCAGTCATACTAGACTCTGCATCACGCTGACCTATCTGCTGTCGCGTGCCAATATAATTGATGTCCAAGATATTTTTATGGATTAAACTTCTTTTTTTTTTTTCTTCTTTTTTTGACATCAATGTACAACTTCTAAATGCCACTGAAAGACATCACAATATAATTGTATAAAGTATCCAGCTTTCATCTTCAAATATTACATCATCTCTGTCAGCAATGCTGATATGATGTTTTAAATCATGATCTTCCTGTTGTTTGATATATGCTTTAAAAATAATGTGACAAATTCATTACCTTGAGCAGTTTATTTGTAAATAATATAAATGCCAGATTAAATCACTTTCTCGCTTCATGGAAATTATCTTATTCTTGATTGCTAGATAAAAGATGTGATCTAAAGAACATTGATAATAGTGTACTTAAACAGAAAATTATTCAACAGTCCATATTTCATTTCATTAGATTTTTTACAAATGAAGGACAATTCAGATGAAAGTTTCCGTAAAACAACAAAAGTAATTTGTCTGGTTGAAATCACATGCAGAACATAAACACTTGCAAACAGATGATGAGACACGGCATCAATTCAAAGTAGACCCAATCAGTAAGGGATGGATGAGTAGCATTATCATAGAAATATTTGTACTTGTACTCCTGAAACGTAATATGTATGACTGGCTCACTCATCACTTGAAACTTGGATCTGTCATTCCATAATGGTTTCAACAGAACAAAACTTGAACAGGTGAACAAAATGTATTTTAACAGACACCTTTTGATGAACCTTCAGCTCCTTCATGACCATGGATACTACTCTCTGCACAAGAGACAGGTCTTTCCACCTTGCTTTCATCATGGACCCATACACAAATCCAAGGATTTTTAACCATAGACTCCATGTGTAGCTTTTGAACATAGTTTTTACTTTGTGATGGTGTAGGCCAAAAGCACATCACCCAGTAATTCATGGGAGTTAACTATTTCCTCTATGATTGCTGACCAGTTAAATGCAGCAAGTGCTTCATAGTCCCTGTGAAACAAGACACTACTTCTTCTCTCACAAGCTACCCTTTGAGCTTTTCTGTCATTTCATCAAGAAACAAAGTCCAAATTGCTTTCTTCAGTTTATCATAACTGAACACATGTTTAGCCAGACAACTGATTGATTGGGTTGCTGTACACAAGGCATAGAAATTCCTCCTTAAAAGCCTCTGGTCGATGTTGGCATCCTTCCCTCTTGAAAATATCTGCCTGGCCTTTTCTTCAAGTAATTTGGCAGGTGGTGATAAATCCAAAACCTGTCCTCTTTGACTTCAGTGGAGTGTCCTCAGTAGAAATGTCAATGTAGAGCTCTGTAAAGACACAACAAAATCTGACTTGCATAAACACACTCACAGTCAGGGTATTCAAAATATGATAGAATTTAGATATGGACAATATTTGCAACCATATTAATCAAAAAAGCAGTTAAAGAACATTGTATGCTTTGACATGACTATAGTTAATCCATCCCAAGATGGTGTTCTTTAACATCTTTTGCATGGTATGTACACAATGTACTCATAGGAAATATTTTTACATTATTCTACTTCTACAAGATCTATTTTGTGTATGTGATTGCAGTTTCATATGTTGAAATACCAAGTGTTCCTAACTGTGTGATGAAGTTCAAGTGATAAGTAAATGGAAGAAACTTTTACCTGTCAAGGAGGACAACTGGGATGACTGGCTCAGTCTGGCACTCACTTCGGCCAGTCATTGTAGTCGTTACTAGGGGCTGTTGACACCTGACTCTTCTTGACTGGCAGTTAAACGCTGATATCGAAGACGATATGACATACCTGGAAGAGTAAAGAATAAACTGTTACTGTCATCATGGAAAAGCATGGATGATTGTATCTTTTAAAACTGTCATTCAAATTGATTTGCTTACCAATAGCAGTATCATGAATAAATAAACATCTTAATAACATGTGATTTTACTACCACAACTGTTGGAAAAAGCACACACAATTTGAACCTTTAACTTAAGTTGTCATTATAATAAATTCAAAAATACAATGCAAGAACTCACTTGTCCTGTTTGTCCCAAATTTGGAACTTAGAAGCGTGGCACACTTCTGCCAAAATGATGTGGAAAGGTCTGAGGTTTGTTCAGCTTGCTTCTGAAGGACATTAATTTCTTCATCGCTCCATTTTGACTTGGTGGAGAGGCCATGTTCTGCCTGGGGTTTCTGCAAAGATATGCACCGAGCATGATGACGCTTGAGAATTCATGCACAAGAAATGCTGAAATCAATTAAATGTAAATAAATTACTGGTTTATCAGCTGATTAAATATGCACTTTCTTCACCATAAGATGTTCATAAGCTATTTTAATCACGATCAATTCACTGATATTAGCTAATTAGTATTACTTACCTTCATCTTACTCTTAGAATAAGGTGTATGACCTGTTGGAGACCCCCGAGGCCTTTTCTTGATATAGCCATGATCAGAAAGGCCTGGTGGTGCTGCTATAAACGATGGTGTCCGGTTTTCTTTGTCAGGTTTGCAATAATTGTGAAAAGACTGACAAAACATATTGATCAGTACTGCTGTCAAGTTTTTTGTACAACTGCACATGGCTGGGTGTACGTATCAAAACCTATCTGAAACAACGCGTACATTGGGCAAAACGGCGACATTAGTGTGCTGAAATTTTCTAAACTAAAGATTCTATCGATGTTTTATGGTTTTGGGTCGTTCTCTTCGATGTCTTATGAAACGATTTCGTGTCCAAACCGAGCTGACACGAAATATTAACTCAAATATTGCTGTTGAAATGGGGTGCGTGTCATTGTTTACATTTTGTGGGTGTGACGACGATTTTCGTGTCTCGAATCAGCTTAAATACTGCTTTCCTCCACCCCAAAAAATATGGACTTTCTTCTCGAAACTCATACATTGCAACTGTAGTAATGAAAATGCTATGAAAAATTCTAACCACCCGTTCTAGCGTTTCCCCATGTTAACGTACCTTGTCCGCCATGTTGGTTTTCCTTGTGTCCCGGCCGCCATGCTGTGGTTCTCAGACCACAATTATTTTCCTTCTTTGCTATCTACAGTGACATGCCAGTGCACCATAATTAATATCGGTCGTAGGCTGTTCTCCTGTTGCATGCTGACCAACCTGCCACTAGTCACTTAATCGGCAAAATATGAGCCTGGATCGACCATGTCGATTTTGCTGTATCCACTGTAAACAATGGTCACCGGAAATTACGAGCCGAAACACACTAGACAGCCTTGAACTTGGGGCTCAGTGTCGGAGCGTAGCGCAGGCGCAACGGACCCAGGGAACCAGGCTGTTGTCATCATGCCTTTAGTAGTTTTTGTGTGGTTTTCCATCGAGTGGCAAAACTAAGCGAGCAAACGAACTAAAGAAACACATAGAAGCAAATTTTCCGAACAGGAAAATTCATGTATGTAAGCGACCATAACAATGACGTTGAGAGAAATGCTGTTTACGCAGGTAAAGTGCATTGACATTTTCAAGAAATGTCATTCATTCTACTGAAATGAATACTGAAAATGGTTGTATTTAGCACTTTCAAAGACTAACCGTGAATATTTCTGTTGTGTGATTAATATGACAACACGTTGATATTGTGCTCACAGATTCCAGACGAGAGAAGGAAGTACGGGGCTCGCTAAAGTCAACAGCTCAGAGGTGGGTGCAAATAATATTTAATCATTTGACAAAAGCAGGGCGAGTTCATGTTGTGGCAGTTACAGGTGTTGCCTGTGCCATTTATGTGATAAATATGCCACAAAATAAATGTCCTTTCAATCAAATCAGGAATTATTTTTTGGAGTGGTGGGGGTAGCCTTGTGGTTAGAGTGTTCCTAGGTTTGATTCCCAACATGGGTACTGTAGTGTGGAAAGGTGAAGCAACATGAGAAGTATTTACTGTGATGTTTTATATATATTTTTAGTCACTAAATGTAGAAAAAAAAGAAGTGTCAGTCTCATTTTAATATACAGGATAAGTAAATTATTTTAATCTTAAGGAAAAGAGGGAATGTAGTGTACTGGTGATAATTAGTTGTGTCGCTAGTATGATCTGTGTGACCGGAAGCGCCATGGCGTGTATGGGTAGTCAGGAATAAAGTATGGGACTGTCAAGTCGTGTCTCTTATCTGTGCATGTGAGGAACCCTGCCCTGGCAAACACTACAGGTACAATGTGTCAAGCCCATTTCTGGTGTTCCTGTCGTGATATAGCTGGTATATGGCTAAATGCTGCGTAAAACTAAACTCAATTTTATCACAGCGTTATGGTATGATTGTTTTTCAATTGAATTAAACTTTATAAGAGGCATTTTGATTAGTTGTGTGTTTCAAGTTCACGAGCAAGCTTGAGCATGATGAGTGAGTGAGCTTGGTGAGAAATAATTCACTGGAAATTTGATAATGGTGTGTCAGCTTGATGTTGGAGGCTTGAAACCTGAAGTGAGGCAGGTTTCAGAATTTTATCCTTTCTGAAACCCATGAGCAAGGGTTTGGTGCTGAAAATCCTAAAAAATGTATTTGAGGCAAACCTGGATTTGAACCCTTGATCATAGGTTTCTGGTGCACTCAAGGGACGTAACTCTTGCAACAACCTTAGATGGGTGAATCAACTACCTCCCATAGTGATACGTCTAAGAGTGAGTGAGTGAGTGAGTTGGGTTTTACTCCGCTTTTAGCAATATTCCAGCAATATCACGGTGGGGAACACCATAAATGGGTTTCACACATTGTGCCATTAACCATAGGATACCCCACAGCCCAATAACGGGTATGGTGATGAAGAGGTCCATGGTATAGACATCATAATCATGATATACTGTTCACACTTTGCTAAGGATCAAATCATGGATTCAACAGAAAACTATGATGTGGGGTCAAATTTGGTTTAAATATGTAGGCTTATTGTAAGCAAGGATCCTAGGTTTCAGTATGTCATTGTATCTTGTGGGTTCCAAACCTTCTATTAACACGTTGTGTCCTTGTCGATGACTCGTTCCATTATTTGCAAAATGGTTGCCATGAAAACCATTTTTATGGTTACTCATGTATCGAAAGTGCATAAGGTTAGATTAAAGTGACTATTTGCCTAAAGAGGGGTTACCATATTGTCATTTATCCAGTTTTAAATGGATACAATTTCAAATTGTAAATCTGTGTTTAAGTAAAGTTGTGAATTTTTGTGATCCTTAGCAAAGTGTGAGTAGTATTATAGAGATATTCAGGGATGACACTTGTGATTCAGTCCAGACACATTTTTGTCTTTTCAGGTTACTGAACAAAGAAGATGTAGTCATTCTTGACTCCTTGAATTACATAAAAGGTAGGCTGAGACAGTCTGACAATCAGACAAAGAAAAGTCATATTCTGTTTTGGTGTTTTGAGATGATTTTTCCACTGGTTTCAATTATGGTATTTTAAGTTGTGTGTTTATGCATCAAGCAAGAATGAAAATAATTGAACCCACAAAAAGATGATCCTGACATACTAAAGGGACCTAACTCTTTCGTGTAGATTTTGATTATGGATGGTCAGAGGATTGGGTCACTTGTCCTTGTGAGATTTGTAGAATCCGCTGGCCATTCAGCATTTGCTTGTTTCTCTCACTTAACATGTTAAAATACATTGTGAGAAATGTTTCGATTTTGTTTGCCCAAGATGTTTTTTCTTGAATGTTGTTGTTTGATCTTTCAGGTTTCCGCTATGAGTTGTTCTGTGTAACAAAGGCCTGCCACACACCCCATTGTGTTGTAAGTGAAACGAAAACATGTTCAATTTCATAAATAACAATTGATGACACAACCAGGGCTCCAGATAATCTTTAAACACCAGGAGTACGTACTCCTTATGTTTTCAATATAGGAGTACTGGAAAAACGTAAGAGTACATTTAGAGTACTGAATGGAATTTAATGGAGTCCCAATAATCAATAGTAATCGTGTGTTTTCGACCTTTTATATATGTACAATGCCACAACATTGCTACTCGTGATTGTGTAAACAGGTCAATAAACAATAAAACAATACTTTTTCAAATAAAATACGTCTGAAAATGATTCTAAGACCATTACACCATTGCTGTGGTGCATATCTGCTACATTTTTCTAAAATATTTCCTACCGTATCAGTGCATATTTTTTTAGCCATTACATGCGGCTGATACAGCCCTTATCTGGAGCCCTGCACAACATTTTGAAAAAGGTTGTTGTTTGTTTGTTTGTTGCCTAGTGCTACTCAGCAATTTTCTAGCTGTATGATGGTTGTGTGTAAATAATGAGACCAGACAATCCAGTGATTAACATCATGAGCACTGAATTAAAAGGATTGGTTTGTTGTTTTGTTGTTTAATGCCACACTCAGCAATATTCGGCTGTCAGCAGTCTGTAAATAACCGAGTCTGGATCAGACAATCCAGTGATCAACAGCATGAGCATCGGTCTGCGCAATTGGGATAGTATAACATGTGTCAGTGAAATCAGCGAGCCTGACCACCCGATCCTGTTTGACACCTTTTATTAATTAAATATTTATAACATTGATCTGTTTGATTGGCATTTAGAAGTTGGTGACTAATAAGAAAGTAAGAAAGTTTATGGATAACAACTTCTTTATTATATATGATGCGACGTCTCGGTATGGGTTCTTATACCGTTGTCAAGCAAGAGTGAAGTACTACAGCACAGAACAGACTTATATACATGAACAGGGATTAAGTAATAACAACATGTAGGGACTGAATGAGGGGATTAACAATAACAACAAGGCACGGTGGCCCTCAATCAACAGAGACCAAGGATATCTCATCCCTTCTGCATACAATGATCTCATAAAACAACAGATTAGAGCACCTCAGCCATCATAATTAATCTCATCAGCATGTATATTTTGTTTTACCTCCACCACCTTTGGCTTCCTATTGTCACTACATTATTGCCACCGTGCCTTGTTGTTATTGTTAATCCCCTCATTCAGTCCTACATGTTGTTATTACTTAATCCTGTTCATGTATATAAGTCTGTTCTGTGCTGTAGTACTTCACTCTTGCTTGACAACGGTATAAGAATCCATACTGAAGCGTCAGCATCATATATAATAAAGAAGTTGTTATCCATAAACTTTCTTACTTTCTTATTTATAACATTATTCGTCATTTTATCACGTACATAGATAAAGAAATTCCTGCATTGAATCAGCGCATTGCAAAGTGTGAACTATACTTAACCATTTAATGTTTAATGGAGGATGTTGTGCCTTTGCATTATTCATCCTATCAATGGTGATCTTAAAATGTAAATGTCTGTGGCACGAGTCAATAGCTTAGTGCTGATATTAGTGGTGTTCCGATTAATTGAAATGTCGAAGACTGGTAGCAGTAACCAAGCGACCAAGCAATCGATCACATGTTCTCATAATCGAACATAAGCGATTTTGGAACTGCTGTTGTAGTCTTTGAAATACTTGACAATGGAACATATCATTAGAAGTTGTCAGGGCCTGAAAACGTGTTTAAAACTCACTTCACTAACTGAAAAGCCATGACTGAATATATTTTTGAAGCTCGGGAAGTTTATGTTCATGATATATTAGTCATCACTTTAAAGTAGCAAGTTGCATCATA